AGGGGGAGCCCATCCTCCAGGGGGCAGCAGAGGAAGCCCTAACCCTAACCAGGCTCAGAGGGGGAGCCCGTCCTCCAGGGGCTGGCAGCGTAAGCCAAAAGATTTATTTCATCACAAAATGACCGACACCACATGAACCTGAGTGGTGTCCCCCTTTCCAGGCACGAAGAGAGCGAGGCAGAGGAACATTCCAGTGCAGAGGAACAGCCCTCTCATACGTACCGTCCTTAGTGTGCGTCTCCAGGACCATGATGCTCTGCTCCGTGTTGAGGTCATATAGCAGCGTCTCACCGCGGTCGAAAGACACCACCACCTGGGAGGGGTCGGAGTTCACGAAGGCCACAGAGGTCGGAGTCCCATGCTCTGAGGAATGGGAAGATGCAACCAGAAGGTCATGGGTTCGAATCCCAGGGAGCACACATAAATTGTGCCCCTTCCCTCTACTCTAAGTAGCTTCGGATAAAAGCGTTATTTAAATGTAAAATTCACATGAACTGCTAGTGCAAAGCTAGTAAAAAAAATTTAAAAAAAAATACAAAATTCCTTTCTGTTATGGTTCACCTTTTGCCTTGTTGAACACAGACAGGCAGGGGCTAGAGTTCTGGGGGTCCCAAATGCGCACTGTTCCATCAGCAGAGCAGGAAGCCAAACGCTGGAGCACGCTGGAGAAAGTCAGGCCCCACACGGCATCCTCGTGTCCTTCCAGCACGCTACACTCTATCCCTGGGTCTATAAAATAGATCAAGCGTAAAACTGACCCATTAGCATCACAGGTACTGCACTGAAGCGCTTACCTGTCATTCAAATTTTGTGAATCTAGCACCACCTAGTGGCTGGATGTACTACAAGAAACTGTCACCAGTCTCAGGTTACAACTGGCAGGTCAGCCTTGCCCAGTGCTGTTTGCTTTGTGGGCATGAGCAGTAATATCACCAGTTTATCGCAGCACAGCTGACTAGTTTAAGCAGAAACGCAAACTAAAATGTCTGATGAGAAATTACTAGACTTGCAGGCTATAACTGCTTAAATACATTTGCATTTACTTTGGAGACACATTTGTCCAAAGCAATGTACAAATGAGAGGACTGTCAGCCAGTCCCTGGACCGACTGGGGTTAAGGGCTTTGCTCAAGGGCCCAATGGTGATATCACTCTGCCAGCCATGGGATTGGAACAGACAGACTTCTGATCACAGGCACAGAGTCCTAACCCACAGAGCTACACATTATCCCATTTCATTTATAAATTGATGAATGAGACATTGGGGGAAAAAAATCTATCAATACGATCTGTGAAATGTTGGTCCGATATTGGACGGGAGGGTCAAAGGGGTTTCCGATCTCACCGTAGTTGTCGTACGGGTCGACATTGAGGTCAGGGATCTTCCAGCAGCGCACGGTGCCATCCAGGCCACCACTGTAACACGACTCGCCATTCTGCCCCATAGTCAGAGACAGCACCGCCCCACTGCAGAGAAAAGACCAATCAGTGAGCGACGCATCATTTGACGAGTAGCTGGAAGACCCAATCATGGCTCACCTATAGAAAAGAAGGGATGAAATGAGCCTCATCTTACCTGTGGGCTCTGAAGGTGTAGATGGGTTCAACATCCAGTGCTGCATTTCTGAGAATAAGAATATATACATTAGAGAGCCTTATAATATTTATTGTACATCACATACAGAGATCCAAACACAGACAAGGGTTACTATCATTAACGAAAACTAGCACTACAAGAAAACATTTTGCAAACTGAAATAAATAAAACAATTACACCTAAATGAAAACAATGGTTACTGCTTCCAAAACTAATTGAAACAAAACAAAAACCTTCCCTTACCATTTTAATATTATGTAGCTAAAGCAAAGATTTGTTTATCCGTAATGACCATTAATAATACCTGAAACATGTATTGCCAAACTTGAGAACATTATTGCTTAATGTTCACTGTGTTCAACTTTCAGTCTATCCAAAGAAATAAAGTATCGAAAACGTAAACTAGAATACAGAATAACTAATTAAAATCTTTAAAATACAAACAACTAAAACTACCAAAACTACCCTGAAAACTAAACTAGATTTCCAATGAAAATGGGAGATGTAAAAAAAATAACCGAATTAGTCAAATAAGTAAACTCAGCATTTTTGTCAATGCGCTTTAAAAATTACTACATGAATATTGGCGGTAATCTAAGAATGTTTACAAATGTCATTTGGCTAATAGTGTAACTGTAATCTGAATGACTGTCTCTGCTTTTTCTCTGTAAGCAAAGACGGAGCCGTTACTTTTTGGAGTGCATGGCCTTGTTGAGGTTCCACAGCTTCAGCGTTCCGTCCTCGGAAGCCGACAGCAGGACGGCCTGGCTGGGGTGGAAGGTCAAAGCCCGGATGGCGTCGAAGTGGCTGCGCAGCGTGAAGCGCGGGTTCCACGTCTTCTTGAACTCCTCGCGGCAGTCCTGCAGCTGAACACACGCGAGGACGGGTCAGCGCACGGGCGATACCCCGACGGCAGGGCCTCAGGGCGCGGCGGCCGCCCGACTCACGTCGATGGTGAGGTCATTGTCGTTGGCGACGGTGAGGTCAGCGAGTTCACCCAGGTTCATATCCCCACCCGCGACCGCATCCAGGATGAAGACATCCGAGGAGAAGCCCAAAGCGCCCCCTACAGGCAGGGTAAATCATAATCACAATTAATTTGTATTAATCTCAATTGTGATAAAGTCAACCTGACAAGAATTTTATGGGGGGGGGGTGTGTACCTTCAGTTGCACGAGACTGTCCTGGGACTGAGGGGGGTGGAGAAGGTTTGGGTGGGAAATCTGAGATGATGCCCTGAAGCTTGTTCCTGCGGTTCTCTGTCCAGTGCAGAGCAGACATCAGTCAGCAGGTGGAGACAGAGAGGCTGGCAGACACGACGACGCGATACAGGCACTAAGACCCAGGAGAGCCTACCTAACTCCCGACCGTCTCCAGATATGCGTGCCTCTCCTGCTCCCTCACCCTCCTCGCCCGACCCCAGGAAGTCAAACTCTCCCAGGGCGTCCTCCGAGTCATCTTCATCCTCTTCATCCTCTGGGTCTAGGTCTGCCGTGATGGGCTCCGCTCCCAGCTGTGCATTCATGCGCGTGTACCCACACACATACACACACACACACACACACACACACACACACACACACACACACACACACACAAAGACAAAGCACATTAGCATCATGTCTGCAAAGCTTTCACAAATAACACGGTCATTGCGGGATGTAACACTGCTTAAGACAACAGTATTCAAACATTTTTAACTGGGCCTTAGAATTCTTTAACTATAAATATTTATTATTTAAACATTTATTTGTTTGCATCAAATAATGTGTACAGGCATATGGAGTGTTTACTTTCAACATTTCTAAAAGTTAAATTTTGCCCCCCCACCGCAATCCCCTCATTCTCCACTAGAGGGCTCCGCCCTACAGTTCAAATACCTTTGGCCCAAGACCAGACAGAAATAGTAGAGTATAGTGTAGGTTGCAGGTTGGATGTTCAGGCCAAACACCCCAGGGCGGTTCTGGAGGAGGGTGCGGCTCAGCCTCCACACTGCAGAACCACGGTGCTCACCTTCACCCGGGCCTTCCGGCTCTTACGCGGCCCGTCGATGCAGTCGGCGGCCACGCCCTGAAAGTCATCGTCCTCGTCGCTGTCGTCCTCGTCGTCGTCGTCCTCGCAACGGAGGAACGGCAGCTTGTCCAGCACCGAGGCGCCCAGGTGCTCCTTCGAACTCTCCTTCCCAGCATTCCTGGCGGTTACGTCCACGACACGGCCAAGTCAACGAATGAAGCCATCCATCCTCAAACTGTCCACTGCAGGCAGCTCAGGACGAGCAGGGGACACCCAACACAGACTGCCGGGGGTGTTTCTCAGTACCAAGAATGCAAAGATCATATTTGCGGTCTTGGCAAGACCGGTCTTGCTCACTTGCCTTCCAAGAACAAACCTGGGGCACAATGAATCATGGGATTGATCTCGTTCAGCGAGGATGCAACCGATGTATCCTTGACATTTGGGGCAGAGCAAGACCAACATCCAGGGATTTTTTTACTGTCCTCTGTATTTCTGTTCTTAGGACTGGTCATCGGCAATGGAAGGTGAGAATAAAGTACGGTCGAGTACGCATATGGAGAAACACCACATGTCTG